CAGTCAACTACATGGGAATCCAGCAACATAGCCATTACACTAACTGCTGGTCCCTGTGTGTGCATGATTCTGAGAGAAGACTGAAGAGAAGAGACTGCAGTGTGACCATTGGCCCTGGGAAGTGATTTCTCACTTTTTCTCTCTGTCCTCCCTCCAGTAAGCACACATGCCCTTTAGCAAAAGTAAATAAATAAAAATATATTGTCCCTTGTATTCCTAATCATATATCCTGTACTAATTTTAATTATAGTGGTCTTCTTTTTACTCACAAGTTATAGATATAGTAGCTTTTTCTAAAAAAATTATTTTATTTAACTTTATTTATTTATTTTAATTTGATCAGAGAGGGACACAAAGAGAGAGAGAGAGGAAGAGAGAGAAAGTGAGAAAGCAAGCCACCAGGTCCAGGACTTGAACCACTGTTGACCATGCGGGAATCCAGTGCCCTTAACCACCCCGCCACCTGCCAGCCTTGATATAGTAGCTTTTAAAAAGAGGAGTCCAGGTCTGATGTAGAATCATTCACTTGACTGTGTGACCTTGGACAAGTCATTTAGCTTCATAAAATTGTAGCAATACAACCTTATAAATAATTCATGTAATCTCCTTAGCACGATGCCTGGTATAGGAAGCGGTAAATATTAGCTATGATTAAAATCGGTACTACTCTTATTGCTATAAACATATCTTAATAATAACGTAACATATGAGGATGAGGGATCTTCAGTTTATGGAAAGTATATATTATGAAAAAAACTATGCTTGGGGTTCATATTTTTTTGCACTGAAATAAACTTGTACTTTAATTCTATTTTTTGCATGAACTGTTTGAAGTCCCCTAATACAGGGTGAATAGATGCCAAAAAGTTCCCCCTTATCAACATTGCTGTGAAGTCTGGAGTTTTATAACAGGCCAAAGATATGGTAGGAGTCACATAATCTGGGGGGTCTTTTTAGCCAGAAACAGTTCTGCAGTTGAATTCATGGGAACTGAAGTTGGGGCTGGGAGTCACTCCATGGGGGGAGGGGGGTGGGGGCGTGCAGCCCAGGGTGCCTGTGCACACTGTCCTGGCTGTCAGCTCCAAATCGCCATTCAGATCAGTGCTTCCATTCGAACCCCTGGAGTGTCATACAGCCAGTCTTCTCTCATACAATAAAGCGAAAACATTTAATAATAAAGTAAATGGGGCCAGCTCCGTGGTACAGTGGTAATGCCCTGCTCAAGAGAAGTCAGATCCTACATGACCACATTTCAAACCCCTGGCCCAGTCTGCCAGAAACATGCCTGGCATGTACGCGAGTGCCCAAGGTGCAACAGATTGCAGGAATGGAGGAAGGGATTGCAACATGCCAGACTCTGTAGGAGGTTCTCCTCTCTCTCTCTCTCTCTCTCTCTCTCTCTCTCTCCCTGTCATGCATGCTATGAATAAAGAAAAATAAATAAAATAAGAAGGAAGAAACCCACCAACTTAACTAAGTTTGGCTTCAGAGTTAACTTTTTTTGGGGGAGAGGTTTTTGCTATAGGGCGTGTACGCTCACCTGACAGAGAGTGACAGAAAGATAGAAAGCCAGAAATCACCCCCCAGGGGGGATGGCCACGCCGCAATCCCTTCTCCTCCATTCTCCTCTCGGGATCTTGGGCACGCACACACACGCGCCTGGCGTGAGTTTTAAGCCACCGGGTCTGGGACTTGAACCATGGTTGACTACATGGGAGTCCAGCGACAGAGCCATTATGCTAACTGCTGGTCCCCAGAGTTGACATTTTTTAAGAGCTAATTAAAAAAACTTCACAAAGGATTTGACAAAATAAACAGATGATTATATTGGGTCATCAGAAAAATCATGACGTGTTCTTCTACGCAAAAAATATGTCATGACTTTTCTGATGACTCAATATTTGTCTTCTATCAAAGGGCTATATTCATTTTAGGCCAAAGCTGGAAAAAAAAAAAATCTAACTTACTTTCTCCATTTTAACACTTCCAAATAGTCCCTACAGCCAGGGCGATCACGCAGGTCTCATGTATCTGTGCGTGGTGAATACAGCACACAGCTACAGCAGTGACACCTCTGCCAGTGTTCTCTCCCACCTTCACTTATTTGTCCAAGTGGGCATGTGCCCAGCAGGAGTCAGGCCCTGACTGAGGCACTGGAGAGCCAACCATGACCCGACACAGTACCAGCTGTTGGGAACAATGTCTGCAGTCCTTGAGGTGACACTTGTACCTCTGTCAGAACAGTGACAACTGAGGCTGAGGGAGCAAGAAGGGACAGACAGCATCCTTACCTCCACACTCCGAAAGATTCCAAGCTTCTGTGATCTTCAGGGCCCCAGGAGTTTCTGATCTTGGGCACGGTTCACAAGCGATTTGCCCCTCCTCGTTTTGGAAGGTTCCATTTGGACATAAAATGCAGCGCTCTTGTGCTCCATCATAATATGTCCCGGGCCTGCAACTGACTAGCCAGAGGGGGAAACAATCTGGTCAGTGCAGGGACTGAGGCCAAAGAAGGATTTGTGAGTGCTGGAGATGAAGGTCAGCAGATGGCCTTGACCTCACACTCCCCATACAAGCCCCCTGAGTAGAGTCTGCACCAGCTCTGGGTTCGCTGTGTGCTCCTCTCCGCCAGGATCCCCATCTTCCCTGGTGAAGGCGTTTATGGGTCTGTCTTCTAGACCACAAGCTCCTTGAGGCAGGAAGCTCCGAGATCCTAATTCGTTTTGTAGCATAAGCACTTGATGGTTAAAGAGATATTAAAATCCTGGATCTCCCTGCTTCACAGGGCTGTCAGAGGGAACCATTAAAAGGAGAGGAATTTGACCAGGAGCTGTGCTTTGAAAGCTTACTCTCAGGCCAACTTGTGGCCTGGCGGTTAAACAAGTTGGATCGCACATAGCCAACTGGGTGGTTTAAGCCCTAGATCTGGCAGCTTGAAAAATATGCCCAGTGTGTGTGTGTGTGTGTGTGTGTGTGTGTGCCCAAAGTCTTGAAAAGAGGGAGAAATGGAGAAGGAATTGCAATGTGACCTTTCCCCAAGAGGGAGTGCTTTCTCCATCTCTCTCTTCCTCTGTATCTTTCTCTCTGGCTCACTTATCTAGTGGTAAATTAAAAATAAAATAAAGAAGAAAGTTTACTCTCTGGTGGCTGAGGTGGGTGATGATCTCAAGGAACTCACAAAATATCTTGTTTCAGGACTGGCCTAGTGGTTAAAGGAATTGGCTCCCATTTGTTGGACCACAGTTGGAATCTTGGCCCTGGGGGCTCTAGACACACACCCAACAGCTTGGAGAAATAGAGGAGGGATTGCAGCATGTCCACACTCCAGTGGGACGTGCTTTCTCTTTCTCCACCCCTCCCCATCTCTCTGTCTCCCTCGGGTGAGTACATTTTTAAACAAAGTGGAAAAATAAAAGTATGCATCCGATTTGTAATAAAATGAATACATTACAAAGAATAAACCCTGGTAAATACTTCCTAAAAGGGTAAACGGTAAGAAAACCCATAAACTATAAACTGTGTTTCTGATGCCGTTCCTGGTGCTGTTAGTTAAATGTGGAGCTATACCTTATTTTAAAGTATGCATGTGAGCCTGAATTCGGCTTCCTAATATAACATTCATCATCACCATTGCCGTAAAAATGGCCTTCCTAGTGGCTGGCATTTGTAGAGTACTCAGGATGAGTAGATGCCTTGCCAACAACTTAACATGTACTATCTCATTCATTCCTCAATACAACCCTGAGAAGCTAGATGCTGTTACTAGCTTCATTTTATGGAAACAGACACTTTGGGAGGTGAAATACATTGGCAAGGGCCCACATCTCATTTCTGAGATACACCTAGGGTGAGGTCAAGGACTTTGAGTTTAAGTGGGGAGAAGCTTATTTAACAAAAGGGCAGATCGAAGCACAGTTTGCCAACGATTCTCTGTGGGACTGGGAGAGTTTGACTGGAACAAACACATTCTCTTTTACACTTAAGCTGCCAAGAAATAGACAAATGAAAGAACACAATAAAGTTAGCTATAATATGTGGGGTCTTGAAAAAAATTCATGGGAAGTGCATATTATGAGATATCCATGCATGCATGTCCATATTTTTTTTTTTGGTACCTACTAAACTCATATTTTAATTCCATTTTTTCACAAACTTTATGAAAACCCCTCATATCTCTCAAGTAAGGGGGAAATTTTTTTTTATCCTATCCTCCAAATATAATTTGCATGTATATTCTTAGGGTTAAACACGGCAAAGTTCTCTGTCATCAATAATAAAAATGTCTTTTTCATTATACACTCCATAATGTAAACAAAATGAGGCTTTCAGATCACAGTAAATCAAAAAGGCCACATTTGAAATATTATTTCTACAAATAAATGCAATGGATCAATGAAGTATACCCTAATAACTAAATCAATGCTTTTATATAGAATTTTCTTTTACCAATGTACATGTATCATTTTTATATAATTTTGTGATTTTTTTTAATTGCCAGAGGACACATGTGCTTGTCAGAGAGACGGGGAGAGGAAGAAAACATCTCCCCACATCGGAGGCATGGGCATGCTGCCTGGGGGTGTGGTGGTGCCCTCCCTATGACAAAAACTACTGGAAGCTGGAGGATTGAAGCATTGAGTCCATTTCTCCAACCTGGCACACATGCACACACACACACACACACACACACACACACTCTGTGTTTTTCAAGATAGGGGCTGGAATTTGAACTGTGGTCAGCCATGTGGAATCTAGCTCCCTTTACCACTAGGCCGTGGGGCTGGTCCAAATTTTATAATGAGAAGTGAGCCACTCTTGCTCTCTTGGCAAACAACACAATAATGAGTAGGATACAGAAATCTGTGGCAGAGCGTCTCTATAATTTCAGACTTAGTCTCCAAATGGAGCCCTACTAGATACTGGTTTACAGGATCACCCTGGGTCCCACCAGCTTCCATGAAAAGCTGTGTTGAATTACATACTAGGAATCCACGAGGTTTTATCCTGTGTCCCACCTGACTGTCCCAGTGTCTACAGTGGCCAGTCAATAAGAACAAACTCCTTCTGGCTCGAGGAGCCCAACCTGTCATGAATACGGGCAGAAAGTAAAAGAAATAAAGGCTCTCTATAGCCCCTCCAGCCCAAGCCATCCCCCACTGTGGGAAGAGCTGTCTTCATGATACTCTTTCACCCATGTGGTGACAGTGATCGCCACAGCTCCCTTAATCATAACATGGAGACAGATCAGCACAGTTTGTTTCCATCCCAGCTCCCGTGGCAGAAAACAGATCTTGTCCACATGTGAGCAAGACCCGGCTTGGTTTTCAGTGAACCAAGAAAGTAGACGAGCCCCTGCAGCTCTGATGTCTGCTCCTCCTTAGAACTACTGAAACCCCCCGAAGCCTTTTCAAGTTTCCATTGGGAGAGGCCTCACATTATCCCACATCTGTTGTGATTTCTTAATTGATCAAAGGGCTGAGAAATGCCCCTCAGCTGCCCTGTGGAAAAGAGGGCACCAGTTCTTTTTCCTCGCGGTGAAAAGCCTGCCTCACATAAACGAACTCATATTGTCAGTCACGATTCCCATTTTCCTTCCAGAGAAAAAGGCCTGCAGAAATAATTCATGCAAAGGGCTTTCCAAATAGATCTGTTTCTTTCACAAGGTAAAAATGAGCTAAACACTAAAAAAACAACGCTGAAGTGTCATGAAGGGATGCCTGAGAACAGCCTTTTGCAAGTATGCGGAAGCTCTAGCCTGCAGAGACCTCAATCACACGTTCCAGTTGCTTCTCTCTTTTCCTTGAGCAACCAGCTTGTTTTGCTGTCCCGGACAAAGGACTCAGTTGCCCCCAGAACACTTTACTATCACAGCAAAGCTTTTGTGTGTCTTCAGTGACCATTAAAATCCCATTCTCAAATCCCACACAGCTGTTTTGGCCCCCTCTTTAAGAAAAAAAAAATATGAGAAAGCTTTTCTGATGCAAAAGAGAAAGCAGCAGGACAGGATTAATGGCCACAAAGGGGCCTGAAGCCTCACTTGCTTTTCAGCACTGTGTCCTTTGAGTGTTTCAGGCTATGGACAAACACTATGGCCTCTCTGTGGCTACGATGGTGAACCTAATAAAAGGGGTCACTCACTAGCGTTTGACTGTTTTCTTAAGAATTGAGCCTTGACTTATGAAGGAGAGCCACAAGCAGCCCACGCAGATTCCCAGGGGGTCCTAGAGCCACTGCTTTGTCTCATCAGAGCTGCTGGGGCCCCAGGATCCTGGTTAGAACTTGCTCCTTTTAAATGAATGCTGGAGGAGTCTGACTCGGTAGGGCTCTAGGATCAGTTTTGAGCTTTTGACTTTTAAGTATTACTTAGGTGGGGTCAGTATGTTGGCAAGGCCATTGCTGTGTGGCCCCCTGACTTAGGAATAAAACCTAAGTCAAATTAGTATGTCAGCAAGGCCGCTTGCTATTTGCTTTGAAAATTGTGGTAGCCTTGCTGGGAAGCGACTCTCCTCTGACTCTCTAATACATTATTATAAAAAAATTATATAGCTCTTTTGAGTATGTAATAAATTTTTTTAAAAGCCCCCTGACTACTCCCCTTGGCCCTGATCACCTACTGTTAATTACAATGCTTTATCTCTGTGGTCACAATAGAAGGTGTGCTGAAGTTCTATCTAGGCAAAAATAATCTTGACTTTTAAAAGACCCTTTAAGATACATTTAACATAAACTTAAAGATAATTTTTTTTACATAAAATAGGATTAGGCTGAAACTGGCCTAGGACACCCCCACCCTCACTAAGTAAAATAGATAAATATATTAAGATTTCTTAAATTAAGTTTTAGATCCCTATAAAACTATATAAGTAGTATTCTTTATTAAAATCCATAAAAACTAATATCTCTACTTAAAATTTTCTTTTCTCAGCATCGTGTTCAGTAATCACAAGACGGCTGCCGCCGCATCAGCTGATAATTATCTCTGCTTGCTAGAGCTGCTTTCCCGAAACTGCATTCCATAAAGACCTGCCTACCACAATAGACCCACCCTTAATCCAACCCTAAATAAAACCTATAATCCCTATTAGACTGATAATTAAAACATATAGCCCCTCACCCATTTACTTGCATGTATCACATTTTCAATAAAAAGGCATGATAATTTCTGGCAGTGATCACTCTTCAGAGAGCAATCTCTGAGGGGTGTCCCACTCAGGATGTGCATGAAAAGGCACCAAGGCCTTAGTCTTCGACACTGCTTTTTCATTGTCCGTCCAGGTTTTTGGTGTGTGCTCAGGTTTGCTGTTTAAACACATGCTTGTGGTTGGGCAGTGTAATGAGCCTGTCTGACACATCTTCGCTGGATTCTCAATGCACAGTAGGTTCTTTCCAAGCCTAGTAACAGGAGTTGTGATTTCACTTCCTTTTGAATGCCTCTTTTGCCCTCCATTTAAATATTTCCCTA